CAGGGAATTGATTCTCTGTACATACAGGGAATACAGTATTATTCATATGAACAAGACCTTCTGAGCCCCACCTCTTCATATCCTAGTGAGAGCAGCACTGTGTTAGGAGAAGGAAAAAAACCCTCTGGACACACAGAGAAATTCCTCATCTAAACTTAAAAAAATATCAAACGTTGGCCCTGTGCATTATGGAAAACTGGTTTTGTTCAGGAAATTTATTAAGTGCCTACTACATGTCATCAGGCTCTGGAACCTAATCGCTGTATAGTTTGACAGAAAGGATCCTTCTCCAGCCTGTTTGTTACTCCTTGGCTGGCATTCTAATCTTTTTCCTGCCCCCTGGACGTGGAGGGGGAGTGGAGTGGGCTTACCACCATCCCATAGGCAGGCGAGAGACATCTTCTCACCCTGGGAGAGTTGGGACTTTCCCCTTAATGCTCTTTTCTCATTTGAGAAACGCCACGAGGCCAGAGACAGATCGCAGTCCCCGTTTCTCCTCAGCACACTGCCGTAAACTAGCAGCTCATCTGTTTCTTTTGCTTCCTGGCCAGTATCAGGACTTAAGAACCAGGCATGTAGTTCTTAGGGAAACTGAAGTAAAGAACAAGCGACTGTTATTCATTCAAAAAATATTTATTGAAAAAGACAAGGTGAGGATGATTCAAGCTGACCCAGTCCTTTGTTTATGTCAGTGACATTCGTCATGGAGATAGTTCATGGAAGGGAAAGACCCTTAGGCTTTTGGCATTCCCTGATCACTGGCCTCTGCATCCTGGCTCTCTCAGTGCTGGGTATGAATCTCTCCAGGCCTCTGGTTTTTCATCTGTAAAATGAGGCTAATAACCCTTACCTTGAAAACTGAGATTTCAGTTGATTGTGCAGAGCACCTGGCACAGTGTCCTGCATATGACCAACTCCTAATTAATCACTTATTTTCCGGTTTTGACTCAGTCAGACTCTAAACTTGGAGACACAGATGTGTTGATTGTTCTCAGGATTTGGTTTCCTCTGGCTAGATACGTACTCCAATTCAGCCTGTTAAGTGAGTGCCCCCGAAAGAAGATAGATGTTAGGATGGTGTTATTTTCTCCTCTCTAAGCATCTGCTGCTGAGAGGGCTGCAGTGACTCCTAATGAGTGACACATGTCTGATCGAGAATTGAGACATCTGGCAGGCTACTCAGAAAAATGGCATTTCCACCTGACATTTGCCCAGTAACTCTTCAGGTGCCTGATGGGGTGCTTGTTCTATGAGAAATCTGGCCCAACTTTTGACATGCACCACAAAGTCTGATTTTCTTACCAGGAAAGTGTAGAATGAGTTGTGCGAGAATTCCTTACCCTACAGAGCCTTTAGTTACTCCAAGGGGGTATTTGACGTTCTGTAAACCAGAGTGTACTTAAATGAGAGAGGTCAAGAGTGAAGGAGGGGAGACGGACAGAGAAAGAGAGAGAGAGAGAGAATATCCACGTCACTGAGCAAAGGGAGTTGATGCTGTTGCTAAAGCTTACTTTTCATTTCTGTATTTGTAAGTTGAAGTGCTGAACTAGATCTCAGATGCTTCAAGGTGAGAGCTATGAGCAGTTGTCTGATTTAAAAGTCTTCCCTCTAATGGCAGAATCTCCTTGACTGTGAGTACGGCAGGTAGGTTGCAGCCTCTTTGCTTACGCAGCAGTCCCTTCCTTTTTAAACATCTGGGTTGTTTTGTTTTTAAATTTCTCTTTATATTGGCCAAAATTGCCTTTCTGTGTCTTCCTCTTAACCTCTCCCAACATGACCCTTTGAAATTATACAAAAAAATTTGTTCTTTTTCCGTGAAATAGTCCTATAGCTATTTGAAATAGCTCTAATAGTGCCCCAGTCTTCCCTTCCTCCAAAACCCATGCTCATAAACATCATTGAGATATTTGCTCTGAAATTATTCATGTCCTTTATTTTGAAACACATGAGGAAAAAATGCTCTAAACAAATAGGAAATTTCCTAAAACCACAGAAATACAACAGAAATTTTTGGCCTTTGTTAAAATATCTACTAAAGAGTAGGGTAACCAAATAGGATCAAGATAAATGGACCCTGGTGTATCTCCAGCAATTTGATTCATTTTCAGGTTAGTAGGAGCAATCTGGAACGTTTACTCACAGATACATACAACCTATAAACTTAAAAGTATTTAGGGATCTCCGCATGAAATCCACTAACCTGGCTTCTACGTTGGGGTCAACTATTCCCTTCCTTATCCTGCCCACTCTCATTCCTTTTGGTACCCTTTATGTGGGAACAGATCACTTCCTGTTTAGTCTGAGATTCTTGGAGGACTTCCTGTGCATGCAAACAAGTGGCAAAAAAAGAACAGCTGGGAATTTTTTTAATATCTACATATATACGCGTGCGCGCGCATGTGTATGTGTGTATGTGTGTGTGTGTAAATGAAGGAAGGAACAAGCCATTTCCCGACTGCTGGCTGACATCACCCGAAGTGAAAACCCAAAGGCCAAGACAACCCACCCCTCACACGGCCTGCTGACAGCTGGCCGAGTCAGTATGCAGGCCTGTAATGCGATGTGAACGGGCCCTCGGGTCCCAGAGAACAGCCACACACGCCAAAAGCCTGGCCCTGGCCCAGGCCCGCTGCAGTAGGCCCACTCCTCGGGGGACCAGTGGCACAACTGCTCTGGCTCGGGGCGGGGGCGCTGCTGCTCTCCTCTTACCGGCTGCCTGAGGCGAGCAGGCTCTGACTTTAGAGTTTTTGCAAAGAAGTAAGGAAAAACAAATTAATGATTTATGATGTGTTTTTATATGAAATAACCGATCTAGACTGTCTTTCTGGCATCTTCTACTTATATGAAGTACAACATAAAGAAGCTGAGCTTTGGCCCTGGCTGGTGTGGCTCAGTGGATGGAGTGCTGGCCTGCGAACCAAAGGGTCACCAGTTGGATTCTCAGTCAGGGCACAGGCCTGGGTTGCGGGCCAGGTTCCCAGTAGGGAGCATACGAGAGGCAACCACACATCGATGTTTCTCTCCCTTTCTCCCTCCCCCCCTCTCTAAAAATAAATGAAATCTTTTTTAAAAGAAGTAGTAGTTACACTTTAGAATCTAATAGACCTGGGTTTGAACCCTGACAGGCACTTCTGACATTGGTCAGTGATTGGGTATCTCAGGGACAGCACCCTGCTCTCAAGATGGTCGTGAAGGTGAAATGATGTGATGGAGGGGAAGTGGCTTTGCGCCTAGTATACAGTAACCCAATGAAGGGAAGCTGTTGCTAAAGGAAAGAAAGGGCTGAGTGCTTTTATCATTACATGTGGTTGTAGCCGGATAACAAGGAATCAAGCAATGGTCTCTCCATACTGTGTAACCTGTTAACTCTAGAATCTGAATATAGAAAGAAGACTGTCTGGATTTCAGTGACATTCTTTCTTCTTTTTGCTGACCCCAATATGGCAGAGTTTGCCTGTCAAAATTAACAGCAACAACTGTTCTTCAATAAAACTGAGACTGGTATTGAGGAATAAAAAATGGAATTTTTAATTAAGAGAACCTGCAAGGAAGTTATTTCTGATCACCATAAAGCCTTCTAACCATACTAGTAAATAGACAATAAATTTTAATTTTATACTAACTTCCCGCTCTGAGTACTAGAGCAAGATGAGGATGTGGCCTAACAATCTTAGTTAACTAGAAAACTTAGGCTCCATCAGTTGAATACTCATTTTGTATTAAGCAAACGCTTGCTTAAATTCTTGATATGCATTATTTCATTCCAGATTCACAACAGATCTGTGGGGGGGGGGGGTGTTAAAAACCCCATTCTACAGATGAAGAAGCTGAGTCCTAGAAAATTCAGTTACTGTCCATATCAGTTCTGTCTGACTGCAAAACCTGTGCTCTTGACCCACTGTGTTTCATCGCCTTCCTCAGAAAGTTCATGGAATAGGCAGACGATAAGTGGACGATTGGATAAATGATTAAGAGTACACTACAATCTGGATAACTCTTAATAGTAATAAAGACCCACTGACAAAATACCAGGGCCTTTGGAGACAGACCGTCCTGGGTTTGGATCTCAGCACTGTCGCTAACTAGTTGTATCATTTAGGCACGTGACATTTTTCCTTTGTAAAATGGAATGTCAGTAAGATTTAAGAGAAATAATATTTGGGTAGAGGGCGGGAAGAGATTAGCCAGAGAACCTGTATGCATAGCCCGCAGACACAGACAACAACGTGGTGAAGGGGAGTTGTGGAGGTGGCGGAGGCGGTGGCTGAGTAAAGGGGGGGAGATGGAGGTCATCTGTAATAGTGTCAACAATAAATATTTTTAAAAAACAAAAATAACATTTGGGGCTTACCTGGTACATAGTCAGCTCTGAAGTAGTTGCTGCAGCTGCTACTCCTGCTGCATGAGGAATGTGCTGGAGCAGAAAAGACAAAGAATTATCTTCGTCCCATTTGATGAGATAGTTTTACCCTTTTCTAATGCAGAGTCTCTAACACTAAGCTGGTGTAGAAGGAAATTCTCACAGAGAGATTTATACCCTAGCAAGAATACATGCCTCTCTTTTTCTTTAAAGAGGAAATTATTAGTTTTCAAATCTATCTTTTATCTTTTTAAGAGTTTAACCATCTTTGAGAGTATAACATCTATTACCCATTCAGTGGGTTTGGAAAACTTCCTGTTTACACTGGGGTACCCCTGATAAAGGATGTAGATAGTCATCTCATTGTTATTAAGCAAACACGGCCTGCTTCTTATAAACACCATTGTTCTGAGAATGCAGTCTCATGGTCAAGGTGTGATTATGTGATAGCTTGCTGGCATCTTGTGTGATATTTGGAGGCTAGAAAATTCCAAATTAGATGAACAAGTGGGTCTCTTGCTTGGAACCTTTCCAACAGTTTCCACACCACCGTGAGTTCCCTTCGGGACGCCTTCCGGACGTGTAAGTGTGCGATGAGACTCACTTTGTTTTTCTGCTTTCTTTTCTCTTTCCTGGACAGAAACCAAAGCCCAAACCCCGGCCATCCATCACGAAGGCAACCTGGGAGAGTAACTATTTTGGGGTCCCCTTAACAACTGTCGTGACTCCAGAGAAGCCAATTCCTGTTTTTATTGAGAGATGCATCGAGTACATTGAAGCCACAGGTAAGCGTGTTACCTCAGAGCCAATTACAGCTTTCAGTGTCTCCAGGATGCTTTCCAGAGGGCTAAGCCATCTGGAGATTCTGGAATCAGCTCTCGTCTAGTGTGCGATGCTTGCTGAGGAAGGGCTGAGCAGTCCCAGCGGCTCTCGGCGTCCCCCCGGTGTGCCCGCAGTTGTGAGGCTGTGGTGTGCGGTCTGGTCGAGCTTTCAGAACAGGGGAGCAGTCCTGTCCTCGGGGCTGCGGTTGTAGCTAATCCGGGTACCTTTTCTGTGTCCCCCCATCTCCCTGTCATAGCAGGCAGCCTGTTTGTCAGCCGCTTGGGGGTAAGGAAAGGGTTTTATTTCTCTTTGTGTCCTCGACACTAAACTGGACACAAATGGTAATACATTTTGGCTTGGTAAAATGAATAATTGTGACTGTTATAGCCTTTAACCACTGATCAAGTGCCTGAGAGTCTTATATTGATAGTAGTAGTATTGTTATGTATTTGTTTGTTTATTTCATACTGCGGTTAGAAACCAGCTTGGTGCTTGGGTATCTTCTGGTCAAGCAGCTGCATTTCAACTAACCTGGTAACTCAGTGTCATTGCAAAGGCCGACTACCTTAAAAATGCTTCTGCATTGTTCTTGAAGTGACACAATTTTACCTGTGTTAAAACATTTATTTCCTTCATTAAGAGCTTTCATAACGTGTCTTCTGGCCTCTCTTTTGAAACCCCTGGAGCATCCAGTTTCATGCTATTATTTCCCATGTTCTTCTCCTGGATGCTTTCTAAGCTGATGAACTTTGAGGAGAAGGAGGTATAGCATGCACAGGGTTATGCAAATCCTTGAGCATTAATAGTTGAGCCCAAGAATATAGGCTTAAACCGATGTGAAACCAAGGTAGGGGATTACAGCCTTCCTATGTGTTCTTCTTGATTACAGTGTTATCTGTAGTGATATTAAGTATTGTGTTGTGTGGAAAGTCTGTCAGGCTCTGCTGATAATTTCAGCAGCATTTTATTAAGCTGACTGACTGGTATTAATATTTCCTTAGGATGTGCGGAATCGGGGAAACTAGGTTTCAAGTTGAAGCCCGGTAAAGACTGTCATTATTTCCAGGGTTTTCTCTGCAGCACTCTAGGGTTGAATCAAAGCAGGCAGTTTGTATATTCACAGCAGACCTGCAGCTTTGTTTATTAGTCCATTCTATACCCAAGGCTGCTTCTGAATGTCCATCTTTTGGACACTGGTTTTGTATCCGTTTCTTCCTGTCACCTCTCCCTTGGGCGAGGAGGAAATCTATACAAAGCAATTCAGTGATTGAAGCCTCTCTTGTTGACCCAGCGTTTTAGAGAGACAGTTTGTGGCATTGGGAGGAGGTCGGGGGCTGGCACTTTTTCCCTTATTTTTTTTTTAAATTTATTTCCAATTTATAGGAAAGTTACAAAAATTATAAGTTGTAATAAATTGAAAGTTACAACGAATTCTCATGTTCCCCCAATGTTAACATTGTACTACATTCCCTGTATCTCTTTCCCTATATATTTGTATCTTTTTTCTGAAATGTTTGAAAGTTACAGATAAGATGCCCCTTTACTCTGAAACACTTTAGTGAGTATTCCCTAAAAACATTCTCTTACATCACCGTGCAACTTTGAAAACTAGAACATTAGCGCTAATGCAGTACTAGCCTATCTAATCTATAGACATTTTCATTTCATTAGATGTTCCATTAATGTCCTTTATAGCAAAAGACAGGTCTTGTGGGGTTTTCTTGTTTTGTTTTTTTGGTCCAGGATTAATCCCAGACCACATGTTACGTTTAGTTGTCAAGTCTCTTTAGTCTCCTTTTATTTAAAACCATTCAGTCTGTCTGATTTTCATGGTCTCGATAATTTTAAAGAGTACAGATGAATTATTTTGTAAGATGTTCCTCAACTTGAGTTTTTGTTTCTAGTGGAGTTTTTTTTTGTTCTTTGTTTTTTTAATGTTTCCTCATGATTAGATTCAGGTTTGCGCTTTTGGCAGCAACCACAGCGAAGCAATGTTGTGTCCTTCTCGGTGTATCGCACCAGGTGGCATGTGATGTCAATTTGTCCCATCACTGGAGATACCCACTTTGATCCCTTGATTAAGGTGGTGGTGTCTGCCAAGCTTCTCCGCTATAAAGCTACTCTTTGCCCCTTTGTAATGAATAAGCATTTTGTAGGGAGGTGCTTTGAGATTGTAAGTATCTGGTTTCTCCTAACACTTTCACCTACTAGTTTTAGTATCCACTGATGACTCTTGCCTAAGACAGAGATCGCCATCGTTCTTCTAGCTCTGTGATTCTTTCTGCATTTATTAATTGGGATTTTCCTGTCTGGGAGAGCCTCGCCTTCTCAGGAGGGGCCTTTTGTGAGCGGCCTCCTTGAGTGGCTCACCTGTGGTAGCACCAAGTGCCAGAATGTTGCCCGCATGCCCTTAGCTGAGCACATCAGCGGTCTTGACCTACCCTCATCACCTTGCTTCTCTCGCTCTTGGATTGTGATTAGCTTTTTTTACACCCAGTGGCGAAATTTTGCTTCCTCTTGTCCTTCTACTTGTGAATCCTTTCAGGTATGAAGACCTTCTCAACCATCCCCACGGTCCACTGCCAAGCTGCTGCTTGTCTTAAAGCTTTGTTAGACTGCGTCACTGTCCTCCCTGTCACCAGAAAGCTTGGAGCTTCAGGGACATCTCTGACTCATCTAGTCAGTTCCCAAGTGTGTTGCTTCTACTATGAAATCTCTTGGGTCTGCTCCCTCCACGTCAGCTACACACTGCCCCACTGTCCCAGCCTCAGCCCTCCTGATCACGGGACAGTTCTGCCGAGAGCCTCTTCTTGCTGCCTCGTTGCCTGTCAGATGCTGGCCGCGCTCTTGGCGCCTCCCTCTCGCACGCAGTGCCCTGCCTGCTTGTCTGCCTGCCTGCCTTCCCCCTCTCTTTCCCCCTCCCTTCATTCTTCCTTTCTCTTTTTACCCCTGCCTTTCTGTTTGCTACTATGGCAGGCATTAATTTTTAAATTGTTTTACAAGAATACAAACAATACATTAGACGCACATGGGCCAAGCAATATTTCTTTGCTTTGTATGTATCCCTCATATGTCTGAAATGTGTCCCACGTTCCTCCTGCCTCTGGAACTTGTCTTATTTTTCAAGACTCCCCTACAACAGCAGCACTTTGATGTTACCTCCCTGATAGTTCTTCTCAAGCACATTTCCATTTCCTGAGAACAGGATTCTCTGTTCTATCTGCCTAGAGCCTGGCACCCAGTATACGTTCAATTGTTGATTGAATGAGTGGTTTTCAGCCTGGAACACCTAAATGTTATTGTTTTCTTCTCTCTTTGTCCTTTTAAAATTTGGTCATATACTTCCCTTCATTGGCATTAATTTGTACTTTTATAGAATTTCAAAGTGAAAATTCAACCTGGTATCTGTAAACTCTGTGTGTGTGTGTGTGTGTGTGTGTGCGCGCGCGCGTGCGCGTGCGTACTGGCAGGTGGTCCTTGTGTATTCTGTTCCCTCCCTCCCTCCCTCCTCACCCCAGAACATGCTCATTGATTTTAGAGAGGAGGGAGGGCGGGGGGGGAGAGAGAAACATTGATCAGCTGCCTTCCATGTGCTCCCTGACTGGAGACCAAGCCCGCAGCCCAGGCATGTGCCCTGACCGGGAACTGAATCCGTGACCTTTCCCTTTATGGGACATTGCTCCACCAACTGAGCCCCACTGGCCAGGGCTGTACTCCATTTTCTAAAAGAACTTTTTTCCTAATTATATTATTAAAGTATGTTCCATTTGTAGAAATTAAACAAAAGACTATGAAAAAGAATTTAAAGATTCGTTGATCTCCACTTAGTGAAGACCACTGTTAATGGTTTGATCTATTTCCTTACAATCTGCCTTGTCTGTACATATGTATAAGTTTTTACTTTTACATAATTTAACGTAACGGTGTGATAGTTCTCAAAATTTTTTTTAGCATAACTTAGATGAGGCAGAAGAGCCCTGAATTCTCCCACCAACTTACCTACTCTTGTTTTCCTGCAGCAAAAGAATTCAGTAACCAAGAGTTGGGTTGGAGGACCATTGTTTAAAAAGCACTGCTTTTTAAACCAGACATTGTTTTGTTCGCATGCGCCAGTCATCAGATACTCTTTGAAAACATAACTTTTAAGTGCTGCATCTTGTTCCATTAAATGGTTCCATTACAGATTATTTAACTATTCCTCTGTTGTTTGGTCCGTGTAGCATTTTCTTCTGGTGTTCTTAAAATAAAGAAACAGTTTAGCTAGGGGTCATTTTAGAATAGTGATACAGAGCTTCAGATCTAGTTAGACTGGAGTGCAAATCTCTGTTCTGCCGTTTGCTCATCTGTAAACTGAGGGCGATGGCAGGACCCGCCCCCCAAGGCTCTGTGAGGGTGCGGGGAATCTTCCCAGTGAAACGCTGCGACTGCACCTGGACCCGGGAGTGCTCGCTGCCTGCTGGTCGTCGCTGTGAGCTTCGCTCTCTGGGTATTTGGCCTTTCTTTCTGTTGTCTGTCAGACTTTACTATTAAATGTAAACATCCATGACTTTTATCTTTCTCATCTTTTAAATTTGAAAAATTGTAAAACCCATTGCAAAGTTGAAAGAGTAATACAGCAGTTACTCAGTACTCTCCAGTAGTTGACATTTTGCCACATGTCCCCCTTTCCCCTCATTTTTATAGTTGAGCCATTTGAAAGTAAGCTGCTGGCCCTGCGTCACTTCACTCCTAAAACTCTCAGCTGAGGTCCCTAAGCTTCAGGACTTTCTCCTTCATGACTGCAATAACATTATCACTTTTAAGAATGTTAGCATTAATTCAGTGGTATTTTATATAAATAGTCTGTGTTTAAATTTACACATTTGACTTAAAACTATCTCTAATAACTGAACTTCTTGTTCTAGGAGCCAGTCAATATTTGTAGTGCATTAGGCTACTACCCCTTCATCTCTCTTAGCCCAGA